ATCCCTAACAGCAATTTCACTTACTCAAGATGGTAGCACTTACTCATCTTGCTTGTACATACAGATAGTAATTAACCTCACATTCTAAATCAGAGGCCACAGGTTAAGATCAGGCTGTAAGCCAATAGCAGGAAACTTGACCAAAACATCTGACAGTAGGATGTTCTATCATAGGTACCCCACAACATAAGGAGAGTGGGGAGGGCTATTTGAAATAAAGCAAAGCTTCCCCCACCCCCCCTTCTTCCCACACAGCCACTGGTGCACTCAGCCGGCAGGAACTGACTTCTCTGCTAATCGACTTGGGTCTCTACACACCTACACTGCTGTTAACAGCTATTCCACAGCCTTCTCCTCTTTCTGGAGACAGGAATCTGAAGTTCTTCATTAAGCACACTTTCAGCTGAATATGCAGCAACTAATTTGTACTATAAACTTTATTATGATAAGTAGCTGTATCATAACAAAGCATTTTAATAAGCTTATTCGTTATGCTATAGAAACTATCTGTGCTGGAGATGCGTAACTGTCTAAACTGTCAACATGCTACTGACCAGCTGTTCAGTACTGGAAGTCAACATAAAGTGTTCAAATCAGCATGGATAGATTTTGTCCAGAGAGCCATGGTTAGTTTCATACTTCCATTTTAGAGACTCCTGTATCAGGAAGTTCTATAAATGGAAGGACAGACCTTTACATAGTTTGTATTATTGTGGTCCCATAAAAGCTAGATAAAATTAAATTAAGACCACTGCAAGTTTTCGTTCAAAGTCTTGAATATTTTTAATTTATTTCCAGTTTACTGCTTTTATTCACATTGATAGCACAAGCAATAAGAACGATTTTTTTTCCTCTTCCCCATTTGGTCAGACTTAGAAATGCATCAGCTATTTCAAACAAAAATACACTCAAGGTACCATTTCTCAGTAGTAAAGCAGTTACTGGTTATCCCCCAAGAAACATTAATTTCAGTTCACATAAGCCTCCTATTTCTACACTGATCTGACACTGAGCAGCATAAAGCATCTAAACTGAACTGACCTTAAACTCATCCAAAGACCATCTTCTTTCACATAAAATGAAACCACTTTATTCAAGAGAGTCCAGAACTTACATGTGTGAACCAGAAGAGTGCGTGACTAGGTCAGGCAAAACATAAACTGAAGATGAAATTTTAGTATTTCATTAAAAATTGGAATGCAACATCTATATTTAAACAACTTTATTAACATAGTCAAGCAGTGATTAACATTCACATCTATTATGTCACATCATACAAATGTAAATACAAAATTACTACAGTACAATATATATTCTCTGCATGATCCAAAATATTTGGTGGCCCCAAAAACTCTTTAAAATTCAGCAGCTTATCAAAAATTAAAACCATATTCTATTTAAAATGAAGTTCTGTTAGCACATAGGCAGACTTCAAGAAATACCACTCAATTTAGTACAGTTTGAGAGGTTGCAGGAGGATATGTTTGAAGGAAACATTCCAACGTTGTGGCAGATACAGAAACATCAGTTTTAAAGCTTTCAAGCAAAACTCATACAACCTAAGTTGTCAGCAGAAAGATCCTGTCATCTTTCATTTTAAACTATTTTGTATACTGCATCCAATTAAAAATTTTAGAAGCGCCAGATAATATACAACATGACTACCTATCACTTCCCATGAAAAAAAGATAATATTACACTGGAGATTTCAATGGCCAAATGAACCTGCTTACACATTTTTTTTTTTCCTAATTGCTGTTCTTGCAAAAAAACACCTAGGCGTTCTCAGTGTTGTTGCTCACCCAAAGTAAGGAAATAGATACCTAAGGCGAAAGTAGCACAATAAAACCAGTTTATAGAAAAATTATACTATGCTGTAAGCACTGAACTCTGAGATGTGGATTTTGGCTTACTTGGAATATACCGTAACACCACACACGGATTCATCGTACAGAGCCATTTTAAGCTTCCCTCATGTACGTACATTCAAGTGAGTAAGTATCCTTATGATTTTAGCAGTATATACTCTACACGTCAAGCAACAAGAGTACTTGCCTCCATTTCCTATTTAAAAAATAATCTAGAATGGGCTTGCTCTAACTATTAGGTGCAAAGGGCAAGGATCGGTGGCAGACAAAACTCAGTTTCTATTGGAGAAGAATACATAGAAGACTGATGGATGCAAGTAATTCTGGAGAATGTACAGGTGAGTGAAATACACAGCTACTAATCAAGCTTTATTTATTCAAGATGAGGTTACTGGAAATACTTATGTAATATAAAACAAATATGTATACAAACTACATCAGCGTCTCTCCAAGATAACTGCAGGGTGTTTTGCCATTTCACTGTAGAGCTTAACCTTTATCTAAGATAAAAAGTGACTCTTTAGACCCTATATAGAAGCTTCCTGCGTCTATCATCCTCATGAAAGAGACAGCATTGAACCAATTAGTGTTAAGTTGCAATTTCTTTCCTTAACAAAATCTGAAACAAACGATTTCCAATATAATATTGCATTTAAAGAATTTTGAAAGAAATATTTCCGTTGTTTTGAGTGTGGATGCATTCTCCACAAGGGAAGAATGTTTTTGCACTTTATCTGTTAATACATTCAACATGAATAAAATAGGTGAAGCAAAAGTCATTATTGTCCCACGGTAAAGGTTAATTTAAAGTAACTTTAAAGACAGAGGAGCTGCCTAAATGAAATACATAAAATGATATAATTAAGACACATTTTTATTATAGCATGTGTTCTGAACAAAAAGGGTACAAGAGTATTCACCTGAGATAAAGCTAATATTTGAATATTTCTAAGTAGCAATGAGTTTCACTTGAGGAAAGCCACTTGAAGTTTTAAAATATACATTTTACTATTATACAATATATGCAGCTTAAGTAATTAAGATTGATGTTAACATGAAAGTCCTAACAAAAAGAAAGTCACAGTGTGTATCAATATTGTTAGTTACAAAATTTATGCTACTTCATAACTTTAAAAAAAATCCATGATTATAAATTTTAAACCCATTCTTCTAAAAGTGATCTTTTGAGCACAAGCTTTAAGGACCAATAAACTAAAGCGTAAGAATTAGCTTATTAAATTGAAATATATACATATTCACCGATTTAGAAAATAATGAAGCTTTGGAAAAAAATTACAAAATCAATTATTTTTGCTTGCACTGGTTAAAATAATGAACTACTCTAAACTTTTCCCCCTAAATGAAACAAGCTGTTTCCTGAATGTGTAATGCAAAAAAATTTAGTACTGAACTTCACTTAAGACTAATTTAACAGCAATTTAGAACTGCCAAAAAGATGCATTTATAAGGATTTAAAGTACACTTTCTGTTACCAACTTAGGTTGATCAGCAGCTTTTGTTCACTCTCAGAATCCTTCAAAAAGGGAAACTCAAAACAGGAAAAAGGCATATATAAAAACAGTAAACACTGACCTCCTGAGGTTCCTACAACAAAAATATTCAAGTAGAAAATCTACACCATTACTTGGCAGCGGCTATTTCTGTAGTTTAGCACACTAACAGCACTTTATTCAGTGTGTAAGGAGCAAATGAAGTAAGCCGTGCTTTTAGCATGCCAAGAGGCAGAAACACTGGAATGTAACAAAGACAAACTCACAATTCTACCAGTATAAACATTCAGTCAACATTCAAGAACTGTCAAGACTACACCACAAGAATTAAGATGCTTTTTATATATCCCATGATGTAATAATTGAATTATAAATGTTAATGCCGATTCAGAACTCTTCTTACCTCACATTATATCCCAAATGGCTTCTGCTATATTAGGCTCTGAGCTATATTAGGCATTAGGAATATGGTCTACTTGCTTTAGAGCATACCATGGGAAACCTTACTGATACAAACAATTATTTTGCCAATACTGTTTATTTCTGCCCTAATCGTCTTCCTTGCTGTTATACCAGACCAATTCACAACTGTACAAATACCTGTTAAAATCTTAATGTACAAAAGTGGCACCCTAAGCTAATCCAAGGTGAGGTGGAGTGGTTTTATTTGGTTAAAGTGGCTTTCTGAAATTCAAAAAGTTTAAACTCATTTTAGCTGTTATGCTACAGTATTATTGGGGTAGGTCTTCTATTCTAAAAATTTGTCATTTCTCTGAAATTCTCCCCTACTGTTCAAGCCCACTCAAAAATAAAGTAAGTTTGGGTCTAACATAATATCCCACCTTGCTAGATTTTAAAGGTTTGGGTTTTTTTTTTTTCCCTTCCAGAATTCGGTTTAAAGTGGTTTTAGTGACTAATTTGCTTCAGAATTATTAGTTAAGAAGGAATTTTGTATTTGCTACCAAAGCAATGTAATATGAGAGCAAGTTAACACATGCAATTTTAACCAAATTTAATAAATACTATGTACTAGCGTTACTGAACGTATTTCATACAGTATGTATCCAAACTACTCTTCAGGCATAATCCATTAAAATTTGCAAAGAGAAAAAAAAAAAAAAGGAAAAAGAGGGGGGAGGATGTAAAACATGCATGCTTTCATGCATAAAAAAACCCAGAACTCTTCAAACACCATTTATAAGTTAACACTCTCACAGCTCAGACTTCAGTGCAACGGCTAAATCAATCAACAGTCAAAGAACAGAACCATGCAAAGAAGAGCAAGTTCTTAAAATATCCCCAAACAAACAAAAAAACCCAAAACCTGTTATCCAGTATCCATTCTGCAATGCAAAGGTGAGACACTAAGTCTACTAAAAGGCTATTATGGCTTAATTTTGTTTTGCAGATTAATTATGCAGCACTTGAAAAATGGAAAGGTGTGGCTTCCCCTCTGACCAGCAGAGTTAAAAATCTCTCCATTTTCCTTTATCATCATGGGATACTCTTTAGGCAATCTAAATTATTCAAGACTTGCCACTTTCAGATGGACACAAGATCAAGTGTACCAGTTAGGATTTCACATTCACAGTACATAAGAAAATACACATGGAAGGAAAAGTAAAGGGTTAACTTAACAGGATTTATTCACAGGAATACATGTAAGTAGAGAAAAAAAAACACAACACAAAAGCTAAACAAATGAAATGAAGAGGATCCAAACCAACTTTCACTCTGTAGCTTTAAACTTGCACCCTTGTGCATTTAACTACATCACAAAGGGCCACCAACATGCGCCGACACAGTGTAGATACCCTGCATTACATCCATTAACTCAAAACATCTCTTTAAGATCATGCTTTGAACATAAAGAAAGCATAGAAGGTAATATGTTGAGTGGGAACAAACACAAATATAGCAATCATATCATCAACTTCTACAATTGTCTTAACGTGCCAACTAACATTTATGCAGCCTTTAACGGGTCTTACCATGTAACTCATTTTTAGAGATTCTGATAAAATCACTAGTATATAACCATGCAGAAAGCACATCACACTGACAGCACAGAGGCAAGTATTTTGCACAGCTATATCAGCTTTCCACATTGTGCAGGTTACACACAATACAATATCAATCTTATTCTTAACAGATCCTATAAAGGTATTTCAAGGCCTAATTGTTAACTACAGTACTTTGTATCTATATTCTTAATAAATCCACAGAATCTTAGAAAGGAATTTTAAATGCAGGGCTATATTGAGTTGGTAAACTGCAACACAAAACTGGCGCAACATAGGTAAACGTATACCAATTTCACTCTATGTGATGCAAGCATGCTACTTTCCCACTAATTTAAATTACTTCTGATCACTATGAGCCAGAACACATGCCTGAACCTTAAACTGCACGTTAAGAATAATGCCTTACTCTAGAAATTAAATCTAATGAAGTACAATAACAAAATCATATCCACTATTTTATTTTTTTAATGCAAAAATCAACATGTCAATCTTTCCTTTAATGTGTCCCTCCCCTTATCCCCAAAATGAAAGGAGTGACTCATTTGGCAGCTTGCAGGTTGATTGATTTTGTTCAAGTTAACCTTTATCCATTTATAGTGGTGTTTCTATATTGTACACTGCAAGTGCTTGCTCCTAATACAGACACAAGCTGCATTTTAACTGTACTAACTTCATTTGTGTAGTTCTTCATTAACATGCAAATACCTATGAATCCTATCAAGCAGGATGAAATAATGTAGAAAACCCTTACTCAAAAAAACACAAAAGAAAGAAGAAAGCCTTTTACTGTTAATGACCCCTATTCTTAGGTTTCCTTTATTGTGCGCAAAAGTTTTCCTCTTTACGTATCCCCTATGGTTCAATTATAAAGTTCTTTTGGTACAATTCCCCACAATATTCCAGAATGTACTGTTTTGTGACTAGATTTTTTTTTTTCTTCTTCACATCCAGTGCAGAGTTGTAATAGGAGACAGATTTCCACCCACAAAAGCTCCAGATGTTAAAACATTTCAGCCCCAGATTTAAAAACATTCCCCAACATCGACTTAATACAGTGACGGCAACACCTCCCTCCCGCCCCTCCCAGTAGGGTTGGGATTGTACTGTATTCCCTACTGGTTTACCCTTCCCCCCAGTAAAGGGTAACATTTTCCCTGGGTGCAGAGGCTCCCTCATGGTCTCCCAGACTGAAGGACCTGTAAAAGGAAAAGATAAAAGTGTAATTAAATCTTACCTTGAACCTTAACTGACAGATCTGTCCATAAACAAAAGAGCTCTTGCCTTACCTATTCATAGGTAAATGTTTGAAAATAGTTTATTTTTATTCCATTGTTCAAATCAAAACATGTAATTCATACAGGATTTATGTCAGTGACTTTGGAAAAAGTCTTAGGTTGACTTTTAAATCATCCATTCAACAATAAAGCAGAATTGCACGATTCACTCCCATAATCTGAGTACAAAAATTCTACAGCAAGTATCAAATTTACATAAAAAGACTGGCTGAATAAATCTTAATTCACTCCATTTTTTGGGGTAGCATAAATAATGTCTTCACAGTATCATACTGCTTCACACATAGGAAATTTGCTTTATACAGTTTGCACAGATAGCATACAAAGCAAGGCAGTATAATATAACTATTCCAGAATGCACACTGTTCTTTGCTGAAGTTGAATCATTCTCTGCACAGAACTGTAACAATTCCAAACTGGTGCACAAAATAGAACATGGCAATAATAAACACATCAGCCTCCCCAAACTTTCAAGCTCTACAGTTACAGCAGAGCTATAGATTAGCAAAACATGCTTTATACAGTGCAAAAATCATCTAGTGTGTGGTTAGGAGTGTACTGAACTTCTGGTGGATAAAATGTGGTCACATACTTGCTTTCCTATCCTAGAGGAATATTCCTGCTCAGACCACATCTGCTATCTAGTAATTCTTAAGTGGCCTGTGGCTTTAGTATGATGGCATGAGGATCATATTCATCACTTTGCTTATTAAACTCAAACCAGTACTTTGTTATACCTACACTTCCAACTTCATCTTGATACACTACTGTGTGTATGATACACTGTTTTTCTTTTTCTCTCTCTGTAGAAATAAAATAACAGAATCAGAAAACTGCTTTTGCTACAGCTACCGTCATTTTTCCCTTCTTACAGGAAGAAAAGATAGCCAGTGTATCTGAAAAATTATAGTCTGATGAATTAATTATGCTTCATATTATGCAGTGATGAAGTGTGTTATACAGCTCTGTTTAGTAAGAAAGATTTGCCTGCTTACCTCTAATTATGGGACTGCAGCTACAGTGCATGAGGTTAAACTCCATAGTAAGCTGCAAGGCGCTCTTTTAAGGGAAGAGGAAACTGGTCAGAGAAACGCCTCCAATTCTCATCCCCAACTTGATTTTTAAATCCATGAAGAATCTACAAACAAAAGGCAGGGGGAGGGGAGGAAGTCAAGATGATCACTAAAGAGAAGATACATTATTTACTAGCAACATATGCAGTAAGCCAAATTGCTGGAAAGTACACCGGTCCATTTGAATTTTCCAACTCAATTCTGAAATGCTACTAAGAAACAAAGGAAGTCTAGTGACATCTGTCTTAACTGAAATGTTTTTTCTTTTAAGGGTGACATACAGAATATAGGTGCCCACACAAATTAGTGTGTGTATACATATCTGTATGTATTTCTAATGACTAAGGTGACTCATGACCTAGAGTTAGGCCATTTCAGAACACGAAACATTTTATCAACTGACACAGCTTATATATGCCAAGATCACCGTGTGCACATGTGTAATGCTGTGGGAATAAAGCTGAGCCGAAACTGCAGCCAGCATTTGACAGAACGAGTATCTGTCAACTTCTAGTACAAATGCAAAAGCGTCATGTGAGAGCTCTGCTCTTTCCATGGAATCTAAGACAACTGTCATGAAAAAGGAAGCTGTTAAAATCTTGTGTGTTTTGGAAGAACAGGGTTCTACAGTCAGCAGCAGCCAAAAGCCAGTGAAAGAAGTGAAATAAAAATAAAATCTACAGGTTTCAGTCTGGACCTTCCAATGTAATAAATAGACTGAAAACTATGAAAACTACATTATACTATCAAAAAGGTCAGTACGTTAGCTATGAAAACAGCAGGTTAAAAGGCAAACGTTAGAAAGAATACAAGCAGATGAAATGGGTCATCCTCATAGAAAATTATGCCAGAGTCTACAGTTTTGTTTTTCTTTTTAAATTCAGTGATACTGAATTGTGTAAGAGTCTCATGAACATACCCTCACAGAAAATCAATGTCAAAGCTCATGGTACCGAGTTGACCCTCAACACAACACTCCCAAGCAGAGCTGTTCTTAAGTAGGATGTACTGATGACTACGTTAGAGTGTCACCAGATAACTTACTGCTTTTCTCCCTGAAAAGAGACCTTCCACTAGCAGGCTCACCTCTTTCCTAACCCAAAGAGTCAGATGAGCCAGCTGACAAGAAAACACTGCGAATCTAAGACTGTTCAGGTATGACACAAGGAACACTTAAAATCATCCTCCAGTGGAGACTTAGCAAGTGAGCTTCACCTACAGTCTCCAGATACCCTGCTTTTATAAAAAGTGATACAGTTCTTGGGGTCCATGTCAGATTTCAACACTGGCAGCTCATCTGTGCATGCCCTTGGAAGTGGTATTTTCTCTCTCATCTCTAGTGCTAAAGAACAAAACAAAACAGAAAAAAGAAACACTGGACAATGTATTTTTTTCCCCGACTGCTCCTGAAAGGCGTTATTATTGTTGGAAAACATCTAACTGGACTACAGCAAACAGGTATTCATGAGGAAGTAATCTAAAAACTGTGTGTGCCATCACTTGAAGAGGAGCTTCCTTGCATGGCAAAAAGCACTTTAATAGATGTCCTTATGCCAGGTGCACAAGAACCATTACGTCTAGTTTGACTGCATTAGATCCCACACGGGTAACTTGGAATGAATTGGAAGAAGATGAGCCTAATTTACTGAAGCAATTATTCAGTGTGGAAGGTCCAGTGCAGTAACACCCACTGACACTGTGCAGGACAAACATCAGAGACAGTATCCTGGACTTCTTTTAAGCTTGTAAGTATTTGCTGTTTCCTCCAGCTAATGCTAGAATGATCATAGCTGTGCATTTCCTGGACCTGATGTTCCTTCAAAGGAGACCAGTTATCTGAGAGACTAAATAGGACAGTCCTATAAAACAGTCATTTCTTTGCTCTTAAAAGATGACATAAAAAAGTTCTAGCTTCTGCTCTGATGCTCACATATAGCATAACTTGAAAAAAGAAGTGCCAATATTGACCCATGATCCAGTTACTATTTAGCATTATGCTCCATTTTTGCTTTAAGAGAAGTATCATGAACTTCTGACAGACATCCTTTGTAAAAACAGAGACTTCATTTTACAGTTTATGAGGGG